ATCAGAAAACATAACAAACCAATACGTCGCAGCATTACAAAGGGATTAAACCACAGTTAACGTTTCCTATGGTTACAAAACAGTATAAAATACAATTTAGTATCTGGCAATTGCGTTTAGTCCACATGCTTGTTTAAGCCTTGTACAGTTTAATATATTATGCAATCAAACAAATCTTCCATGATAAACAAACTCTGGAATGACATACAAAACATGTTTTCGAGGTACCAGTGCCAATCATGACTGAGAGCAAGATATAATCATTTGCATATGTTTAAACTGGTTATCATTTGGGCATATGAAAAATTACCTTGTAGAACCTGAAATTTTTAATGAATCAAACAAGAAATTTTCATTTCTAAAGGAAAACATCGCTTTAATGCAGTTGAAACTGCCAACAAAAATCTAATAATTACATAAAAAAATGGAATTGAAAGTCAAAACTGTTTAACATTGGTCTTATGGGTTGCTAATTAACCATGTTGGTTGACCAAAATAACAAGGAAAAGTAATCAAAAGACTTGTAAGCTGTAATAAGTGTTCATAATAAGTGATCTACCCACAGTAAACTAGCAAATTACAAAATACAGTACAAAAGGAAAAACATCAGTTGTGAGCAAAGCTTACACTGAAGATAACTCGATATAGGTGAACATAGTTCCATGTTCCGATCAAATACTGATTATTTAACTTGGCTCTCTTCTACAAAAGTAATCTTAATTCAAACAAAATGTCAAAACAATGTTTATGCAAGTATATGCTATTATAAACGAGCGACCTCTCATCGACTGTAAAATAAATGAATGTCAATTAAGGATTACCATGGCCCTGTTTCATAAAAATACTATGTAGTCTAGTAATTACTAGTCTAGTAAATACTAGTCCCGTATTTACCTGTCCTACTAATTTGTGTTTCATAAACGTTTTTATACCGCTAGTAACTAGTGTATTTTACTAGTCACGTGACCAAAACTACAAGTCACGTGACCAACTTTACAAGGTAAACTCTCAAAACAAATTTCTAACCTCAATCACGGGTTTTCAAACCCGTTATAAAGGGTTTTAATTTTGTTTTCATTTGATACAAAATGTAAATAGTTGTAGAAACGCAGTCTTTTCTTTAAATTAATAACTATATAGACACATAGTTAAAACAATCACATATTATTTATCAAAACGCTATTATTTATGTTCATCAATGAGCCCGCCGGCGCGGCGCGGCGTCACGTCGCTGCAATCAACACGGTGATTGTAGTAGCCGGTTGTAGGCCTAGTTGCGGCGCTCAACAGTTGGGTGGAAGTTGATCTGTTGCTGCCGCATTCGCAGTGATTTGTAGGCCTATAGTTTTTGTTTTATTCTGAAATATAAAATTAAGCTTGCTATGAGTAAAGAAAAGAAGGCTCAACTTTTGAATGTAATTAAATCGTCTAAGGACATTTTGTTTGGAACGTTTTAAAGTACCCTAACCAATGTTTTCTAATATTCGAATGCTTATGAATATTTGGGTTGAAAACCATTTGGTGTTATTCTAATTTTGAGTCTACAAACCATGAATAATAAGCCTAAACGTTTATTGATGTAACAAATAATTGCAACGCCGTTACAAGCAATGGTGAAGTAGATTTTCAAGTATACAGTAGTACCGTTACAGTACTTAAAACATGGCATCGAAGCTATAGCAGGGTGTAGCTCGGAGGTAGAGTTCTCGCCTCTCATGTGGGGTCCCTGGTTCAAATCCGCGCCACTCACGATCTTTTTATACCATTAATTAAACTTTTACATGTTTTTACATTAAAATGACAGCTCTAATCAACATCTAATTTTTTTATTACTTTGAATAACAAATTGAGAATACCAAAATGGATTAAAAGTAATGTTTTTATGATAAACAGTTCAGTCCAACACCCAAAAATCGAATATAGGCCTACAAAACTGTTAGTACATGACCAGGGTTTTAGTTATTTAGGGAAGCAAATATTAAGCACCTCAAAAATACAATGCAACTCCTCTTCAAAATTGTCTTTCTATTATTTCCTATTAAATGTCTTTAAATAACACCGATAGCCTTGGGTGTAAAATAATCTGATTAATGTTGCAATGTTGGAAACATTTTTGTACATCTTTGTATGCAATACGGTATGCGGTTTTAATTTGGTTTCTCTCAAAGCTTAATCTTTTCTCTGTGCTATTATACAGTAGCTAAATAGTTGATATAACCATGAAATTTAACTCAAGTAAAATTAGACTAAAATTTCACAGAAATTGATTACTTGTAATTATAATTATTCTAATAGGGCGATTGTACATACATTATAAAATAAAATTTCACTCATTTTGAACTACACCACATTTATTGATTGTAATTTATATCTAACTTAATAACTAATTTCATTTTAGCACTCACAGATCTATTTTTATCTTAAATTGCAAACGTGAGCCAATTTCGCACTTGCAAAAAGAACTTAATAATTCATTTTTTAAATGATCTGAGTAATGAAATAACTCTCTTTTCAAAAATACTAGTCTACTTCAAATAATACGGGTGAAGAGAGGTTGGTAGAAAATAGCAAGTATTTACTAGTGTAATTTACAAGAGTAAAACTTTATGAAACGCATTGCTGTCTACACTAGTAAAAACCACTAGTAATACTAGTCCCTACACTAGTAACAGTATTTTACACTAGTATGTTTTTGAAACGTAGACTTGTAAAATACACTAGTATTACTAGTCCATGGACTAGTAAATACTAGACTAGTATTTTTATGAAACAGGGCCCAGGTTAAAATTTCCATCATAATAAATTGAAATTCCACTGAAACTTAAATAATAAAAGCCAAAACTAGTTAGTTGTTAATAAAACATGAGTTTCCTTTATATTGCCTTTACAATCGAAATAATCTACACCGAGCCATGTCCCCAGATACATTCTTTTAAATATTTTTATTTTAATTCATAAGGTGAACATGCGAAATTACAAAGCCACTGGGGCGGAGCCCGAAAGGATTTTTGAGATAAGGGTTTTTTTCCTATGCCGAGTATTTATAACATTATGTGTGATTCCCAATTTCGGTGTATTTTTATTCATTTCACAATTTAGATTAATTATAGTTTTATAAATGCATAATCCATACACTGTAAATATATAGAATTTAGCAAAATACTGTTTCGTCGATTGGTTGTCTCCTAAGTTTTACATACAGTATGCGTATGGCTCTCTTTTGTAAATTTAATACACTATCTAAATTTTGAATGGTTATTGCACCATATAATTTCATGCCGAATACAATATGTGAGTAAAGTAAACCTTCAGTAAAACATCCAAACGAGCAGAGTTTAGACAAGTTGTGTAGCATAAATAGACCTGAACAAATTTTACTTTTTAGTCTATCAATGCGATACTGTACAACCAAGATAAATTTTGATCAGTTATTAGTCCTAATAGTTTAGTTTGAGTCACTTGAGTTAAGTAATTGTTATAAATTTTTAAATGGTTTAAATTTTTTTTGGGCATAGTTGAAAAATTTATGTAATTATTTTTCTCTGAGTTAAGCAATACATTTTTACAAGATAAATATTCATGTATAGATTTAAGGCTACGATTGCCTATATATTTAATTTAATTTTTTGATCTACCAGAAGCTATTAAATTTGCATCATCAGCATAGAGGCATAATTTACTGTTTAAGTTCGTTAGAGCTAAAAGGTAGGCCTTTTATATAACAGAGGAATAAAATTGGACCAAGAATAGAACCCTGAGGTACTCCATATGAAACTTGTTTTAAAGATTATTTGGCTTTATGTAATTGATTGAATTCTGTAATTGTATTCAGTTCAACATATTGCTGCCTGTTTTATAAATATGATCTAAACCAATTTAGTCAATTACCAGTAATACCAAAACGTTGTAATATTGAAATAAGTGTCTGATGCGAAACACTATCAAAATGCTTTATTGGTCCATGAAAATTCCAACACAGTAGTCGTCTCTATCAATAGCATCAATAACAGACTCAACTATATCAATACCAGCAGTTGTTACAATCGATTTATGGATTTTTATACAAACTAGGCACAGATTCAACCAGGGGTTGAGAATAAAAGCCTATGCAATAAATTGTGTTTAATAGTTTAGAACAATGGGGCCGTTTTTCGTAGGTACTTAAACAATTTTAATAAAATCATATTTGTAGGTGTAGTCAATTGTTTTTATCAGTTAAATAAATAGAACTGACAAGCCTGAAATAAATTTCGTGTAGGTATTGTTTTTTGCGTCAAACTATTTTGATTAATGTTATTTCATTTTAACTGTTATTAACTAGTATCTCAATACAAGGTTTTGTGCAATATGGTTGCATGTTAAATTTTATTTAACTACATTAGTCATGTCATGAAAGTATAGTATTACTTGACCAAGTACTGAGAAATCACTAAATCAATACGTTCTGGGTAACATGAACAGGAGTGGTAGAGCCAATACAAGTTTAACTGCTGGTATACATTAACAGTATTCGTAAATTTATCAAGCAACTTACTTAATTAATTATCAAGTACTTAATCAATTAAGTATGTTATACTGAGATAAGTCAGCACCTTCACTCATGTTCAAATTCATGTTAAATTGTCTTCATGTTAAAATTTGCAGCAGTTTTTCTATATGTCACTGTTATATATAGAGACGAAATTTCAAAAATCAATTTCATTTTCAATTAAAAATAGGTTTCATAACAACAAAAGTCATTTTCAACTTTCTTAAGTAAAAGAATTCGTACAATGAGTTTCGCTGGCATCACGAGAAGTCCCATCATATTTCCTATTCTTTTAATAATTTATCGTTAAAAACACAATAGTTTGGCCAACTAATTAATGGTATAGTGAATTTGTTCCACACTATGTCAACAAAACAACGCAACAATAGACGTAATTAAGATGGCTGTGGGACAACAAAGCTGTTGACATCAGCTGATGTGGTGGTGGTTTGCGCGGGAGGGAGGCGGCACATTTGGCGGGAGCCGCACTCCAGCCAGTTCTCTGTCAGAGAACATTGTGATTAGTGCACGATGTAGTGTTCGGTTATCACTACTAGTTTCTTATCAGTTGTGCCGTGTTGATATGTATGTAAGTGTTGAACTTGTTTACTAAGTGGGTTTCATTGCTCTGTACATAGAAACAAATTTGTTCTAGAAAGAAAATATTTGTTTTTAAATTAGGTTTGATAATAAAACTTCTATACTTTTACTGTAAATATTTACAGGACGGTAAATACACTGTTACAGTGAAATGTAACTATTTGTTAGGCGTGATAAAACGTTGATAAACTAATTATAAGTTACAAGTGTGATAAAATTGAATCCGTGACTTGTAAATTCTAATATAAAATGAAAACAATATAGTCAAAGTTGTATTTGTTCTAATATAAAATCTGAACTCTGATATTATAGTTTGAGGAAAGCTTAAATTAACGTGTTTTGTATTTCATTCAAAACAACGTATTTAACTAGAACCAATAGGAATTAGTATAATACAACATGCGCTATAGAAAAAACAGTTCATTGATTAGTAAAACACATGATAACTAGGGAACTAATAAACATACAATTTATTAGATAATTATAAAACTATTATGTTATTTGCAGACCTATTAGGGTAATCTTCAATAAAACCAATTATTTAACGTTGTTGGTTTGTCGTTTTGCCATGAATAGATTCCATACCGTTTTTTTTTTTTTTTTTTTTTTTTTTAGAAAAATCTTTATTGTTTCAATATTACATAGAAATGTACAATTCAGAAATATTACAGCACACAAAACAATAACCACGAAGGTTAATCAACCTGATTTGGTGGATTTGCACAATCTACTTTGTTACAATCAACTCAAAGAGTAATGGTGGGCGGCATTTATTTGTAATTTATAAATGTGTAGATTAAACCGTTACTGAAGAATTTTTTAGGCCAAACAACGAATGAAGTAATAATTTGTAACGTCTAATGATAACACGTTAAAACTTGTGATTTAATTTTTATTTTAAATATTACGCCATAAAGCACTCCTAGCCTAAAAAAACCTAGAATCCTCAGCATCGTCAATTGATGATAATGACGATTGTTGTTGTCCAAGAAATTCACTCAATTATGTCTAAGACTGCTCAAGAGTATAGAGGTACTTATGAGGACCAGTTTTTAGATTAAAATATCCCGTTTCTAATCAAAGAATTCATGTGTAGCATTTGAAGAACCCAGCCATGTATACAGTATGAAACTGGACCTAGATATACAAGTCGATTCGATTAATTTATTGAGGCAGCAACACTCACTTTCCATGTTTTAAGCTGAATTGGTGAGACTAATGAAGGGTGAGATTAAAATCCATAACCACTCAAATTTCCAGCTGAATCGCTGGAATTAAATGGAAAAGCGCTGAAAATATTGGTTAAGTGACTGTTTTTTGTTGTTAGCCTTGCAAAAAGATATACCCACGAAAAAAAAAACAAAAATATAATACTCATCTTTAAATCGTACTTAAAACACGCCTAGCATTATCTAGCTGCATTGCGATTATTCGAATAGTGTTGTCACTAAGCTCGTATATACTGTTTCGGTCCCATAATTATTGGGAGAGCAAAACCTTCGGAGACAATTTCATATTTTTAAACCCTACAGTTCAAAAGCGTGGATAATTTAAAAATCTAATCAAGGTTGCAATAGAGTTTAAATTTTGCTATAACAAATTATTTCAGTATTTTTATTTTATCTCTATAAAACTGAACCCCTTTAACATTTACCATGTTAACAAAACTCGTACTCCCTAGTAAAACGAATAACAGCATGCTTCCACGGTAAAATTAAGTATGGAGGTACGTCACTTCATTTTAGCGTAACCGTTGTATTGTGGCACAGACTATAGACCAAACAGACGTATGACGTTCTCGTGACGTTCTCACATTTGGAACGAAAGACTTTATTTGTTCTTAAAAGCTAACAGAATAGATTGACTTTTCTGTTTCCGTCCCCATTCAAAGTTAATCAAAATTATTTGATACCAATGGCTTTTGTACAAAGTTATATATGTACTTATCCCTATTCTGTGGTTATATTGAAACCAATTTGAAGGACATACAGCTCTGGGAACAGCTTTAAGGTTTTTCACACCACCAACAACTGAAAACGGGTTTACATATACGGTATGTCAAGAATCAAGATTTCCATAAAACATAAAGATTTACTTAAAAATAAATATGAAAAAAAATTATAAATCTATTTAAACAATAAAAGTCAAATTAGAAGGTGTTCCACCTTTCCTAGCAGGGAACCTATTACAGTTGTAGACCTACTTGAATTTGTCTGTCCGAACCTCAGATGCTCCAAAGTTTTGGGTGATTCAACAACGTTTTCTAAACTGATACGTATATTGATGCTGACATATTGTTATTTAATGCGGACTTAATGTTAAATTTGGAGTGCGATTAACTCAACTTAAATTTGAATTGAATAATATCTTATTTATTTAAACACTTTTGCCAAACGGACAGCTAACCTCACCATTTAATATACTGGGAAATATACTGGACCGAATTACACGGGGTTGGTACCAAATGAAAGATATTTTCCTGTAGATGTGCAGAATCCCATTATAAATTAAAATAGGCCCAAAAATAAGAACGAGAAATGATTTTTGGAATTTAAAAAAATTAACAATGACCTAATGGGTTGCCATGTTGGTAACGAAATAACAAAACAATATAAACAGAAAATCTAAACAAGTGGAAGAAGTTCCTATCACATGTTTTATTTACAGCGTGGGGTGAAAATAGAGAAGTTTGCACAATATACTTTTGGTCGAGTTTTCGACCACGGGGCGAGCTCCAGTATTTATTTATTTTTCAAAATGTAAGTCAGATTTTAAATAACTGTTATAAAATCATTTCAAACATAAACAAAGGAAATTAAAAACTTGCAATAGAAGAAAAATTGGAACTGTGAGAATTGTCCGAAAATGATTCTAAACCTTTAAGATGTGTTCTTAGGTTACCAAAAAATACTAAAAAAAAGTATCGACACAATTTAAACGTACTGTATTGGGCATCCCCGAGTTATGAAAATATTGAGAGTCCTATTGCTATTTTCGTGGTCCATTTTACACTTATACTGGCTATGCAGTATACAGTTTTTGCACTGTGGCAGGCACGTTTTAATTGGCCCCACACTGCCATCGTGATAGGCTTGTTATACCCAGGCCCAGAGTGGCTCAACTAACAAGCCGCTACTTGGCTAGCCTCCTCTACATAGTCCAGCCCGAGGCTAGCTCACATTACCCAGGGAAAATGAAAATAGGATTTTAGTGGAACCTTTGCCCCCTTAAGTATACGATATCTTAAAACCAACCGTTGTAAGTTCAATGTTACGTTAGGTAAAAATCGTGATACGGTTTAGTTTTGGTGTTGATAATGTGAACACAATATCATTTCTAGCTGACTTACGTCAGAAAAGTCTATTCAGTTAGGTCTATTTAAAGAAGCGTATAAAATCTTTCTTGTTGTTCCAAGTAGACGGTGGTAAACCATAATTGAATGGGCTCTTAAGCGGCGGCTATTTTAAACCTACTTCGTTACGAAATTTAAAATACTGTTTCCTTAAAGAGATGTGACCAGTAAGTGTACTGTATTCTGTACTCTTATTACCAACTCTATTTTCAACTAAGATATTACTAATATGAGTACTGCATTTTCAGATATTAGCACTATGTCTGATGTAGACTCACTACAACTACTAATCTATTGTATTCTCAGGTATTACCACTACAAACACTCATGGCTGTATATACTTATATATACTAAGATATATCACTACATTCCTTAACCATGATACATCGTTTCAACAATTCTTTATTATTAAACCACGCTACCGCCTCTTAATTGATTGTTGATACATCGTTTCAACAATTCTTTATTATTAAACCACGCTACCGCCTCTTAATTGATTGTTGAGATCTGATCTTGAATCAAGATCAATGTGAAAGTATGAATTGTTATTTTGTAATCGAACTCTCTGAAATGTAAATTCCAATAACAAAATGCGTGGCACCATGCACAGACTTTCAAATTTGAAAATTCAAAATGAGCAAAAGGTTCAACATCAACTTGTATTTACTGTGTCAAAATGTTATCACCGTTTCCCGACATGCTTCGCATCTCACATTTTGGGATTGAAGATTTACGCCAACGTGTTTACTCCATATGAAGTAGGAATTTGCTTACACTTCTTGTCTCTAAACATGTTTTATCTTTTGCAACAGTCAGGAAAACTCAATAACTCCCCTGGTTATGTAAGACCGGCCACACACAGTTTCAACTACATGTTTTGTCTAAAGAGTCTACAGTTAGTACAGTGTTGTAAACTGTATGAGTGGAATGGAATGAATCATCTAACTAGCTTTGTTACTGGCTTAGATCAGCTGTTTCTTTAGGCGGGATACGAACACAATAACCAAGAGAAACTGAGTCCAGTTCTAATTAATCGAAATAATTAGACACAAGCTGCTATACCCGTGCTTTGCAACGGGAAGAAAATGTTACCAAGAGAGTAATTAAAGCGGTGCTGATGTGCGTTTTAAAATACAGCAACTCTATGATTTAGTTTGAAAATATAAACTGATTTAAACGCGTAAACCTATTTACTTTCAAACCCCTACTTTTGATGTTAATAGATCCATAAGAATATGACAACGTACCTTGTGTAGCAATAGCATCAATTGCTTCATATTGATGATTCATGAATGACATGTTTGGTATTTATTGCGACGAACGTGACCATGGGAACCTATATAGAATTATATATCACTAGAAACTAGATTTTTAGCTGAAAATAACGGTGCAAAAATTTTTCCGCGCTCTCAAATATTAACGGAGTTACGGCTGTTTTAAGTTTTATTTACCGGTAGGCCTAGGCTACTTTGTTTGACCTAACCTATTTATAAGCCTATGATATGTTCTCTCCAGATACTTGATATATTACGTTAATATTAAGTAATGATTAAAGTAGAAGACTCACTTTTTACCTGGAAATAACAGTGCAAAAATGTCTCCGAGGCCACGAATACTAACTAAGGTAACTTAA